CTGCAAGGCAACAGCAGCACACTCTTTGGGATAAAGTTTTTCTGTAAAAAATAAAAATAAAAATAAAAATGTACTGTTAAGATTAGCCTCTAAAGTATTCATAAATTATGTTTGTCTAGTCATACAATGCACAGTGCTGTGGATTTTTATTAAAATGTGATCCTATCTGTAAAACCAGTCAGAAGAAAATCAAGCTTCAGACATGAGCATGTTCTTTTCAGTTAGTAACTATTTATTCTATTTTGTCCTGTTCACTCCTGGGAGACTGACAGATTAGGACCATCTGTCATTGCTGCAACAGAAACTTCTCAGCCTTACATCCTTAGACCATCACACTCGCCCAACCCAGCTACACCACTTGGATTGCCATCACCACCAATTTCGCTCCTTGGGTGTTCAGAGTTCTAGTTAGACGCTATCAGTTTAATGACAATTCAGACAAACACTTACCAGAGCATCTGAGCCATATGTTACATGATTGGCAGAGCCAGTGTCCGGCCAGGATGTACCGTCTGGCTACAGTCCCAGTGGGCCGGAAACTGTGTTCGTTCCCATCACACCATCTGCACCACCTGTGGAGAAAGAGGGGGATATTTCTTCAGAGGACAAAAAATTCAGATAAGCCATTGACTCAGATAGGGCCTAGTTGGGAAATCAGCAGGGCATTGAGAAGACAATATGGAAGAGAAAATACCACTTATATTTTTGAGTCTCAACTTTGTAAATTTAGAATCTAAAGAAAGGGAGGCAAAAACTTTTTTTTTGCCAATTTGAGTTTGTAACTTAGGAAAAGTATAACTTCATGTAGTGCAGTACAAGTAATCAACTGCCGCCCTCATTAGGCAGACCTTCACTACTGTTTTAAGTTGTGCAACAACAGGTTTATTTGGCCATGAATAACTGTTAATAAAGGCAGATGGCAATTAACAAAACTAGTATTTTAGTTGCCCCACCACCAGGCTAAGTGTCACTTGTTTATTTAGTTTAGATAGGTTTTTTTTATTCATATGAACCCCAAACATAATTTATCATATGGTCACGCTTTTAGAGTTTTGCACTGAGCGTGCAGTGAGCATATATACCTTTGAGAATAAAGAATAATGTCTGGCATGTGTATTTACATCTCGCACACAGTCAATACGTGTTCTGGCAGCACTTGGAACTTGATAAAGTTAATGTAAATGAAGGACACCAATCAGTCACAGAAAGGTCTTTTTCAACCAGTATTTCTTGCAAATTCTGCATTCACTTGGATAAATAGTCAATCAAATCCAGCAAATCAAAATATTGCACCAAGCAGCAGATATTACTAAATAAAATAAAGCCTACATATATTAAGTTAAACATACAAATTGTCCATTATGTATTTTTTTCTCTTAATTTATTTTACTTTTAAATGTGACCAGTCTCAAGATCATGGCTGTGCAGACACCTTTGGAGGGCCAGGGGCTCAAAGTTAAAAAGGGGCACTGTCAGAGTTGACACCTATCAAACACAGCAAATAACACAGGAAAGACAAGAGAGACTTAGATTCTGAATACTCGCGAGGAGAACAGACAGAGATGTGCTTTCAGTTACAAATCTCCTACTGCTCTGAAGCACATTTGCCTGCCCCTCTCTTTTTATTGTCTTTAGGATCCCTAATCACAGAGAGCGCTGTAACTCTAAAGGGAGGGGGAAAACACTTCATCACACAGTCACAGCGCCAAGATTATCACTAACTAACAACACAATCTATCTCACACTAGCTTATCTAGTTCCTGACCCAGGATCAAACAGGACAAGTTGTGAATCTTCACGTCGATGGTTTTATAGCTATCTAAGAGGTCAAAGCAGGGCGTTCTGTGAAGAGCTGATGGCACTGCTCTTCTTCAGAGAGGCCCTCTGAGAAAGGAAATCAGTGATTAACAATACAGAAACATTTCTTAAAAGATATGACTAAAACAAATAAGAGTACAAAAACTAAGAACATATAAAACAGTATAACAAATAGTTGATAATACAATTTACCTAACAGGCACATCAAACAAGATTTTAAAACACTGTACAACAACATAGCAACATACAACAAGAATCTAATATTTAATCGGATCATACTAACATTGCCATCATGTGGGGACAATGCAAAGGAAACTTAGTGTTTTCTCTGATGGTTATAAAGTTTCTGTTTCTGCTGCCGACAGAGCTGGAGGGCTGTATTGATCTGAGACTTTAGTTCTTAAACAGACCATAAGAGAAAAGTTTGCTGATTATCAAATAAGCAAATTTGCTGCTATTTTACTAAGCAAACCCTCATAATATCTGACTGTTTAATCTCCATACCAACTTTCCTGCAGACAGTTTTAAAGGTTGAAAAAGTTCAGAGGGGTTAAAAAAAGGGAGGCGGGATGTGTGGGGGACTGTGCATGTCTCTGCTGGATGCCAGGGACCAATAGGAAGATTGAATTTATAATGCACTATCAGGGACAGACCTGCAGACGAGGCTTTGCTGTTTCGTGACTGTTGAGCCACAGAGGCTGTTTTGGCTGCCTGGGTTTTATGGGGTGGGTTTTTCACATCGCCGCTCTTCATTGTTAGACTGTTGTGCTGGTTAATGTGTTTACAGGTCCACTCGGCTGCCACTGCCGAAATCTGACTGGAGCAGCAGAAGCTAGGTAGAAAAGGCATTTGATATGACGCAGTTTGAGGTATTGTGGCAACACAAAACTAGAGGATGTTGCGAGTTGTCCGCTTTGGCAGAGAGCTGCGTGGACGGACCACCGGCCACTGGCCAACTAAGTGACCCATCCGGTAGCCCCACATGCCAGGACATCTTGATTTATTTAATTGTGGCATGTTTGGCTTTATGCTGCAGTCCAATATTGGTACAATATTTTAACTAATGTTTGTGTGATATTTTGACCGAGTCTTTCTTTAACAGTTGAGGTTCTGCAGTAACTTCTATTCACAGCCGCTCACCTCCAGCCCAGATCCCGTCAGCAGCAGTGCAAACCGCCTGGTAGTAAGGTTCGGTTAAGGTGAAGCAGAGAGCGAACAGTCAGAAGGTGGTACCGGGACTCTGAGGTGCGTTGTGGTTCCCATTCTTTATATCAAGATATCTGATTCTGACCCACAGTGGTGGGACCGACTCAGGCTGTCTGTAGCAAACCAGCACTGGGGCAGCTTAACAACACGGAGGCAGAGGCACCGTTCAGTCATTGTTAGACCGAGGGCAGCCAATCTAATTTATTTTGCCAACTTGTTATTTTTAGCTAAATATTTTTGTTAGGGGAACAAGCAGGCCTTCTGATGCACAGATAAAAAAAATTAAAATAAAAAACTTCAAAATAAATAAAAATGAAAAAAGGGCATTTGGAATCAAATCTAAAGACAAAAATTAACTCAGCACAAAAAATAATTAGAGAGTGTATCTTAAAATAACTAAGAATGACTGAATTAAAGTAAAACAGAAACAAGACAAATTTAATCAAAACTAAGACAAACACAGCTAACAAATAAACAAGACAAACTTAGAAGAAACTTAAAGCAACCAAAGATCTCGACATCCACAGGTGTGCCTCCAATTAACACAGTGTCTGATTTAACTTCAGACAGTGAAAAAGGTGTGTTATGATTCATGTCCAGTCCATGCTGTGTTAAGCACTCATTCAGCTCACCTGCCACACCTGATTGCTTACCTGTTCCACCTGGACCTTGCCCTACTTAAACACCACTCAGCCTCCGCTTCCTTGCCAGGTTATCGACAGCCAACGTTTCCTTCCAAGCCTTCGGTGTTTCTACGACCTCTTTCTGTCCATGGATTTACCCCTCCTGCCAAGCCCTTCACGGATCCCTTCTATTCTGGATTTCTGGACCCTGACCCAAGCTCTGCCTCACGACCTCTGATTATCGCCTGCCCCTCAAAGTTATGGTGTATGGTTTAATTTCTTTTACAGTACACCTTCTTATAGAATCAATCAGTAAGTCAGACCCGTTCACAGCCAATCAAGTAGATTTAATTTCTGTTTTTGTTACAAACAAAAGTATTACACAAACAAATAGTGGTTGGAAAACATTCACTCACTGAGGGAAGAAAATCTGTCCGTCTCTGTGTTGCCCTGCGACAGACTGACCTGTCCAGGGTGACCCCACCTTTCGCCCAAAATGTCTCGCTGGAAATAAGCACCAGCACCCCTCCTGACCCTACAGGACAAGGATGTATAGAAAATGGATGGATGGATGGAAGGAAGATGTATTATTTTTCTAGATTTTCTATCTCTACTTTGAATTGCGGCTGAATCGATTAATCAAATTAATTGTGATAAAACAATTATTGAAATAATAGTAAACTAATTTAGACATTAATAGTTACATGCAGATAGGCCATAACTGCATGCAAGAGTAACAAAAACTGTCCTGAACAAAGACAAAAAAGGCCATAAAAATGTTCAGCTGTTAACAAGATGACTTGGCAGACATGCCAGACTTTAGGGGAAGAGAGGCTGATATGGCCTGGAGCCACACCGTTTAACAGATAGCAGCAGACGATATTTAACTGGCACTGAACTGAACAGCAGTCTGGGTACAGGACAGGGTCCAGGACTGGGCACAAGGACATGCTGAGGAAATCAAGCCAGAAGAACAGCAGGGGGCCTCTCTCTTTAGATTCTTGTCTGTTCCTACAGAAGTTGCCAATATGGCAGCCATAGTGTAATGGTTGCATCTTTTGTCTGTAGATTGCTTACATGACTCCAAATTAAAATGCAAAAAACTGCATTAAAGTACAAAGAAAAGGAAGCATTATGAATAAAAGTATTCCCTTTGTCAATAAGAGACTAAAATTCATTGTATTATTTGGGCATTAAGTAAAATCAAAGTTTTGAAGTTTTGAACTTTATGTAAATTTGTAATCTTATTACCTCATCAAAAACATACCTGTAGTGTTGCTTTGATTCTTTCATGGGTAAAACGTGGTGAAGGACCTGGACTGACTCTAAAGCCACCTGGTAGACCTCTTAAATAATCCTCAAATCTCTAGGGTCTCCCTATAAAAAGTATCCAGAAGTCAAAAGCAGAAATAATGTACAAAATATATTTAATATAAAATAATTTCCATCCATCCATCCATCCATCCATCCATCCATCCATCCATCCATCCATCCATCCATTTTCTAACATCGTTGCCCCTAGTGGTGTCAGGAGGGTTGCTGGTGCCTCTCCAGCTAACGATCCAAGCGAGAGGCGGGGTCACCCTGGACAGGCCGCTAGTCTGTTGCAGTATAAAATAATTTATGTCTTTATAATAGTAAAAAATAGACTATTATTTAAATTTAAAACCTAATTAGAAACAGCAACCAAAGGCAAAAATAGCTAAAATAATTTGAAATTTAAGCAAATACAAACCAAATTAGTATGAACACAAAAAAATGGCACAAAATAATGTTACATAAAAAATAAATACCAAATGACAAACTAATATCCTATGGAGATATGCTTAATCAGCGTAAGGTACAGAGGTGATAAACGGGTAGTTTTCATTGACTGGCACAATAAAGGGTTCTAAAGCAGTGGTCCACAACCCCCGGGCCGCAGACCGGTACCAGTCTGTGGACCAATTGGTACCGGGCCGTGCAAGAAATAATTAAATATTTCCATTTTATGTATTATTTGAGTCTGGAGGATCTTTTATTTTGAAAATCTTCTAACCGGATTCTTTTGGTTACTTGCGCGCCAAAACTGAACCCACAAGCAGCAAAATGAGTAAGAAACAGATC